TTGTTTTGTTCAACGTATCATATAGTATTATATATTTATATGTACATACACATAACAACACTGCACATGAAATAGTAAGAGGTATAAAACTTCATCAAAAAATAATAAGTCTAACCTTATCCTAACCAAATAATTCCGTTTTTAAAATATATGAAATAAAATTAGATTTCAACTACCACATTACTCCAAAGCACGAACATCACACATTTCCAAAAACAAGCGAAACTCGACCACTTTGAACTTAATATCGGGATACATCCCGAATTATTAATTAGTTTTTGAAGGGCAGCTATAAAAATAACATTTCTTAAATGAGATGTACGCCTGAAAAATCGTGTTGTAATATATCGTAAATCTTATAATATCTTAGTATAAACACTCAAATAAATTCGTTAAATGTTTCAAATGTTTCCCATTGATTTGCGAGTCGTCTTTATCATAATACAGAGAATAATAATAATTATTTATTTCCTTTGCTTTAATTATTTGTAATAAATTCTTGTGTATTTGAGAATATAAAAAAAAATCGAATTTACACGAAACGTTATTCAAAGTGAACGCACGTGCAAACATATATTGTTATTATCAGGAAAACTGTTACATAAGTATACTTTACTATATTGAAAAACCAGCAGTCGGTGATCGACAAAAAGAGAATGTGCGTTTAGAAAATACCAAACAGCTACTTACATCTCGCGGGAATAAAACCGGGGCCTGTAATACACTTTTGGAATATACCTTGAATTTTGTTCGAATTTTAAATTTATTAATATACTCAAAAAACTTGCCAAAAATGTAAAATGTGAAAGACTCATATTATGTTGGTACCTGTAACTGGGAATTAGGTTACCACACACGTTATGATTACTCTAATCATCTCAGATAATTAAATATTCTATATTTAAATGTATCGTGATAAATCTGTTCTATCGAAACGCCGTATAAAAATAATATAATTTACAATGGCCAGAGAAATTCGATTTTTTCCACATTTTTAATTTAACAAGGTGTGTTACACTGACACCGCCGCCTACAAATTTTAGATTCAAATCAAGAGCTTTCGTTTCAACGGTTTTTTCTCTCAATTATAATATTGTGAGTTCGTTTATTATTCAATAATTGTAAATTCGATGTTTATATTTTATTTATTACATTTAACTCTCAATACTCTACCAGAGAAACAACTATATATTATCAATAACGATTAAAGTAAATTTGTTATAAATGAATATGAACATAAGTGGCAGTAAACACAGCTGCAGACGTACACCGGGGAGCCATCCCATCCAATCTGCAACAGGTGAATTTCCCGCAAAAATCGAATTTTCCCACGAAAGGATTAGGCAAGTGCAGCACTTAAACCGACTTGTCCATTAAGCTTATAATGCAGTTATACCGTAGGCAGATTGCTCAATCAGGTTCGATTTTCCCAAACCTGGTCGCACCGAGTTGAATATATATTTGTACCAAACTGATGTATCAGAAACTGCGACTTCCACATCCCACTCATCCCGGTATTTAAACAACCGATAACTAGATATTACAATACAGTCAATCCACCGTGCATACAGTCTCATATCAGAATGGATATAGTAACATGGATTGGATACTTGCAATGATCCACCACGTGGAAACTACGAAACCTACACGGCTACACGAGCACATGAGCAGAATATTATATTACTATACAATAGAAATTAGAAAAGAGATTTAATTCAATTTACTAATATTAAGGGGTGTGTGTAATTTTCACCAAAAATAAAAATTGGCTCCACTTTTTAAGCTGTAGAAGACATCTGCACGATATAAACAAAAAATAAATAGTATCGTACAAAATAGTCAAAATCTCACACACCCGTACGACAAATATATTATCTGCATAACGATAGACTCGATAGAGGGTCAGAGTTTTTGTGTTAATACATACAACCCTATATACCTATTATCAGTGTTGTAAAGAACTTGAATTAAAGTAATCAAATACTTTAATAGTTCTTTTTAATTTATATATTTCTATTTAAGTATTTATCATGTAACATAAAAATAAAAATTGAGAATGATATGTACAATACATTTTACAAAAATATAATTTTTACTGTGAATTATACTCAACTGAAAATTAAATACTTCGATGAAACTAAACAGGTAAGTATTTTAAAGTTCTACCTAATGATACGGTGTAAAATATAACGGTGTGTACTAGTTGCGGTCATAATCAAAAATTACATACTAGTTGCGGTCACCCCTCAAAAAGGTTACATACTAGTTGCGGTCATCCATCAAAAAGGTTACATACTAGTTGCGGTCATTCAAATAATAATAACTAAGTATACTAAATAATATAATAAAATATAGTTTATATGATGATTAAATATGAAATTAATATTTCGTTTATTTATTGAATTTAGAAAAATGTATTAATCAACATTTTCCTTCCCATTTATATCGAAAAGATAAAAGACTTAGGACTGTCTACACTATTATTTTTTGTGTAGTTATGGTTAAAAATGTTGATACCTACTTATGTTTATATTACGTGGTTAAACTTGTGTCAAAATATAGTATATAATAGTAAACTTGTGTCAAAATATAATATATAATAGTATAATAATAATAATAATTATAAATTTTAACATTTTGTAGGTATAAATTGAAAGGAAATAACTTTACAGATAAGTAGTGGTGTTCCCACATATATACACTGTGTGCATTATATACAACTATGATAAGCTATGACCGCAACTAAGATATTACCTAAATTGGTGTGACCGCAACTGTTATATCTGTTTATCTCAAAAATCGTCATGACCGCAACTAGTATGCAGCCAAATATAACATTCACAACAAGATTAACGTAAAACATGAAAACCGGTTCAATTAATATATTAGGTAAAACAAAATGTTTTATACAAAAATTGAAAGTATTTGAGCGTATCCATAAATATTTTTTTAGTATTTGTATTTGTATCCGCTTTTTTTGCTGAATATTCAAATATGTATTTTGGAAATTTTAAAAATGGCCTATCCACCGCTGCAGTTATGAATACGTCAACACAAACGTGAATAATTAGGCAATTCGTATCTCGAATCGCCATCAAAAGTGTTTAAAAGTAATTTTTGAAGTTATCCCAGCCCTCACCAAGGTCATCCACCTATAATATGACGATCATTTATCACGGCACGTAGTAGAGTAATCTAAAAGTATGGTAAAAAAAACCAATGATAAAAAACGCTTGGTCGAGTGAATTAAATCTACTATTTTAAATATTCAATACGAAATATAGGTACATAACATTATAACAAAATAATCTCTAGTGACGCATGAGCGGTTTTCGTACAATATTCAAGGTGGAAAAACGAAAACCTAATCAATCTCGTCGGATTTTTCAGTTACTCTGCTGACCCTTGAATCATGCATATGCGCAGTTCGTCATCCTCATTTTCACGTCATTCACCAAGCAAATGCGATGGGCCTTTTCTGTAACAAGTTCGACTCAGGCGAAAACCCGACCCGAGAAAATATCTCTCCTAGCAACTTCGTCGCATTGTGACATAAAACCTGTCATTCTGTACTTAAGGATGATCAAAGAACTTTTGGCTAAACTTGTTTTGCAAATTATGCCATCTATTGACTCCCGAATAAAAATCATAAGCCTTTGACATAATAATTGTATCCAATCTTTTCCAACAACAGTCCGGATTGAATACTCATTAAGTTTTTGCGAATAATTTATATGCGTTTTGATGATTATTATCGTGGAATAACAAAACAATTCAAACTTTGGGTAATGTTTAGTATTTTTGCACTTTGCAGTTTGCACACTAAATGTGATTATAATTATTACGATATAAGTATATAACACAATATTTTTACAGATGAATACATATATCCATCGTTTAATAATGTTTTTACATAGTTGGTTTCGATAGCGTCTCCCATAAGTTAACATACTGATATTAAAGTTTTATTTTAAGTTTCGGTTCTTGTTTACGGCTGTAAACTTACAAATTTATATTTTCAGTAACTTTCATAGACCATAGAAATCATTTTTTAATTTTCTTATTATTTTGGGGTGCATAGCATCTCCCCTGAATAGTATACTTAAAATTTTATTTAAGTATTTGTTATAGGGTCAGTTGATTAATTGTTAAAACAAATTACCGACATTTATATAATATCAAACACCACATAGGTATATGAGTGTATCGTACAGGTATCATGAAAAGCTGGTGATAAAATCAATAGTATTATAAAACATGCGAACATTGATGAATTATGTCAGCGACTTTTTAGTAGTTTTTCAATATTATCTATAGTATTTATAGTAGGTAGCTCTTTAATAATAAGGTACTATTCATAATTTCATTTTCTTTTACACTGTACAATTCTTGAGCGCTCTCTGACATTAGAACTGAAGCTTTTGTAAGTTATTAAAAGTATTTTTGTAATTATTTCCATTTCGGTAGCTTATAAACAAACTAAATTTAACACTAAGAGGTTTATTCAATTCCGTCTACCCATAACTATTTCGTATATTTCATCATTCATCATACATACCATATTGTATTTAAATGTTAGAAAAAAAATTTTAAATACTAAATACTAACAAAATATAATATTATGTAATATTATATTTCTGAATATTATTTTGTAAGAATATTTTCAAGGCCAAATGAAAAATGTTTAGGCTTAAATAAAATTTTAATCAAGCTTAATCGGTTTTTATTTTAGCCAAACGTAAGAAAATTATTGTTAAGATTTTATATATTTGTATAACCGTCGTCTAAAATAATTTTTCATCAACTATTTGCATGAGTTTAATACACACATACATATTCACTAGTATGCTGAATACTAATTTTACTATAATAGATCTCCATTAAGATTTTTGGGTGCATTAGTAGTCTGGCATTCAGCCCATAACATGATCCAGGTAAAATTTATTTAGATCTCTATATTTTGGTCCTACTTACTTTTAAAATTAATCTTAATGTACTCACCATTGCATAAATGACGCTGGCATAACATCCCGTTCTAAGCGACTGAAAACAACAGCAAGATTGGAGAATGGCCATAATATAGTGAAAAAGCGATTTGTTTCCTTTAAAATACACTGTGGCTAAACATTACTCCGAGCTGAATTGATTCTGTAAAGCAAAAATAAAATCTAAAATTATTATACCATTCGTGAAACATGTTTTACGATATTCACTAATTATAATATATAAAGGAATAAACAAATATTTCGACAATATTAACCTGTTTAAAAAAAAATGTTTTCTGCTAAGCTAAAATAATATTTCTACATTCGTTATAGTGTAGGTACTTTATACCTGCAGGACCGTTTAGTGTAGTAGCGAGTGTATAAATTATATTTCCATTGCTAGTCTGTCATATTATTATGATAGAGTCCCGGGGTTTAATGTAATCATAAATTGTTTTTAATAACCCTTAAATCTTTGAAACTCCCTGTTGTTAGTAGATTTAACGTACTCGTACTTTCATACATTTATTACAATTTTAAAAATAATTCACTTTTAAGCACTGGTGTTTTTTTTTGTTTAAAGTATTTACAATTAAATTAACATTTTAAGTTTTAAATTCCTACTAAAATCTGCTGTTCTATTATTATTATTATATATTACTAATGTTATTATTATTATTACTATTATTATTATTGTAAATTTCACAATCCACACTCATAATTAAATTAATAGTCAAGGAAAAATAAAATAAGGTTCCTAATGAGGCGTATAGAAATTATACCTGGATTGAACCTTGATGGGATTGAATTACAGAAGGTCTCAAACCAATTATAAGTATACTATTTGAGTTATGTATCATCAATTTTCGAACAATACAATATAGAGTATTCTATAATTCTGAATATTAGATCATAAAAAAATATCTAATTCTACGAATCAAGAGAATGTACGGCTAAATTAATATAAATGTATTCATCAGCAACCTAATTGTTTTCTCTCAAATATAATATAGTTGGACCTGTATTATAGTTATATTTTATTGTTTACATTATACTGAGTACATAAATAGATAGAAATTAACAATAATGTATTGTTTAGCTAATAGTTTATTTTTCGTTGTATACAACGAATAGTGACGAAAGCGCAGAAAATTTAATTAGTTCTCATTAAGTCATGATATAAATTCCAACCATCATTTTAATTATTTCGTTTATATGAAATCATATAAAAACAATTTTAATTTAATAATAATTTTTTTTACGAATGTTTAATGAATATAAATATTATTACTCTTGAATGAATTTTTAAATCTATGAATACAATATCATCGTTTACTAATAAATATATTAATATTATTTTATCATTAGTTTTAAAAATGAAGTATGTAATTTAAGTGTAAACGTGAATGATTTGCAATCGTTTAAAAAAAAATCTAAAATAAATGTAACTATAAGCTACATGTATTTACCAGTCATACCACAATCACCAACCAGCAACCAATGCATGTGTTAATATTTATTTTAAGGTAGGTGAAGCCCGAAGTATTCTGAAGATTAACAAAGACAATAGACATCACTCTCATCAAGGCACATCTCCAAAGAAACGACACTTGATTTCATAATCCCCTCCCCCCCAAAAAAAAACCAAAAATTGTAATCAAAAACTCTAATTGTTGATATTTACGAAATATTTCCTGTTCCTTTTTTTTCGAAGAGAAGAAAATCAATTTATACACCGCGCATCCACGCATGTACAATATGATGAATCAAAATACATTCGAAATGTGAATCCCTCCATAGAGGAAGTTATCCATTGGTCCACCACTCATAAGTTTAGATTATAGGTATATTATCTAGATGTGAAAATGAATACAATTTCGTTTTTATTTTGTCAGAAAATAAGTGTCACAATTCTGCGAGTGGGCTCATTCGGGGGTGAAGACATAATTTGAACTAAGAGGTTCAACGTTCAATGTACAAGTTTCGAGTGAAAAACGCAAAAGTCGTTTTGCAAGGTAATTTGCAGTTTTGACCCAAGGCGTATCACTATACCACTATACCAGTAATGATGCGAAGAATAATATTTTGAAACGCTTGAATAGGACGAATGTTTGAAGGTTACGGTCGGCATTCAGATATGAATACCACAGGATCCGTGTGATTTGTATTTATTGTATCTATAATAATAATATAATTCATCAAGCTTCAGTTACCTCTATATAGACCAAAAAAAAAAAAAACTGAGATCATCAACGCCGGCTCCCAAATCCGAAAACAATAAAATTGAATTATTAAAATACAGTTCATACTGCACTATAGGTATAGTATAACATGTTTAATTTAAACCTGACATTACCGAGGTGCACAGGTGTTCGACTAGTTGTAGCATGTGCGTAGGTGGCTCCTGATTGCCTAATAATACATATATGAATGTATAATCGTGTATTGGTCTTATCTATCAAACTATAACGATCGATGGCTGGTGGTGGTAGAGTTAGTATTGACTTTTGCCCCGTGTCATCATTTCGTTCTACAAAGTTCATTTATTTTTATATATTATTCTACAATACATTTTGGAATATTTAATTATATTATACCTATAACTTTATTTACAATTTTTAATTTTTAATGAATTTACTCACATTATTATTTGTTTTAAAGTAGATATATCGTCTTAATTTATGCACTGGTGTAATGATATTCAAATATAATCGATCTTAAAATATTATATTTACTAATTATAATCTATTCTATTATTTGTATATATTATTATTATTTTATTGAATAGTTTAAAGTTAGAATTTTAAATTTAAATATTATTACACTTAACTTAATTCAATGTCAACAAAATACTTTTAATTTAGTGTTACTATAGTGACATAATAAAAATAAATTAAAAAATATATTGACATAAGGTATTAACCACGTTGTGGTAAATAATATGAATTTTCATATGTTGTAACCCCTATTATGTTAACTGTATTATCTAATATAATATTACGCCGTATTCACTATAATTCCACAGTTGTGTCTAGAGATAATTATAAAATAAATTTGGCGTATAGGTACAACGGAATAGAATAATATATTTTAGAAAGAATAAAACCAAATAATAAATATAGTTCTAGGTCAAATCAATACGAAAATATAAAAAAAAAAGAGATTTCGTACCATTAAAACTTCAAATAAATCTTTCAATTTATTATAATATAAATAAATTAAATAAAAAGTGACGATGCGCGATGGTAAGATTACCGATAAAGGCGGTTCAAACACTGCAGTATTGACCTAAACTATAATTGTTGAGAGGAAAAGCACGTTTAATTTTATAAGCGTCGTAGTATTGAAAAATAAATTGTTGAAATCATAGATAAATACACGGAGTCACGAAGTCACTGCACATATTAACGTTAAATATATATATAACAAAACATAATTGTATAAGGAAGCTTAAGTGGTAAGCCAACAATAATAGTAAATTCGTTCATCTACGGTGTCTATGCACTTGAGGCTAAATGTGTAGAAAATATAGTTCAGTCTGAAATTGGTCAGTTTGATTGATTGCCGAAGAAAATAAATAAGAAAATAAAAGCATAAAAATAAAGTTTAGAATAATTATTATAAAAGTTTTCTATGTGCATAAAAAAACACCCTGCTAAGTTTAAATATAAATTTAAAGTTTAAAATCTTTCAAAAATGTAGGTACTGGAATTTAATTTAAATAGAAAATAAAAACATTGTTAACATGTATTGGTAATTTTGTTAGTTACACGAATAAAAAATATATAATATGCAGCATCTTTTTTCGGGTGATAAGTTTAACGTAATACACACATTATTTCAAAAACTATAGACATTATGGAAATTAGTCTTATGCATAATTTTAAGTCATTAAAAAACAAAATCTAGCTGAAACTAATATATTTTCACTGTTTGTTATAATTGTAATTTTTTAAATGTTTCACTTTTATATTGACACCAACTATTTTTAATTCCTTACTCCAAAGAAGAATATTTTTTAAAATACTTTATATACTCGTATGTATAATAGTCACATTTTTTACAAGCATCTCAGGAGTTATAACTTTAAATACTTAAACTCCTTATCAGCAATTAGATTTTTATAGATCGAAATACTCCGAATACTATTCAGCTAATAGAGTAAAAAACTCAAAAATATATAAATAACAATGACTAATAATAAAAAAATCAATATTTTCCAAAAATGTTATTTTGCAGAGACTCTATATAAATTATTATATAAATCTAATGAATAGATTAGGTTTGGTTAAAAAAGAAATATTTTAAAAACATATGTATTTTCTGAAATAATGAATGTCGTTCGTAAAATGGATCACTCCGTATACAATCATGAACTATTTTAATTTAAGTAGTTGAAACGGATGCTAATTTTTTTTTTGTATAGTATTAGAGAATAGCAAACAGGCAAATATAACAATAAAATTAAAATGTAATACTAATGAAACCATGTGTAAAATGACTGGGCTTATATTGCACGAGACCGTATTATAAATTTTTTAAATGTGTATTTAATTTATTTTGAATTAAAATTAAACACAATATGTCGTCTACATCGCGTTTATATAAATTATTTTCAAAGCGCATAATACATAAATTATGTAAATAATTTATTATTGTTATATTTTAGTTATTAATATGTAAATATGATATCACCTATGGGTTTTTACTTTTAGCATTATAACGATTTGTAATGTTATGTTACTCATTTTTCTGAATAGACACTCAACTTTAACGGTTAGATCATAATTGTATATTATAAAATGCAATATTACAAAACACATTTTTCACACGAATGCCATAATGCATATAGCTTTAAGTCAATAAGCATATCCCATAAATACCTATATACCTATATGACTATTCTGACCTTAATACAAATACTAATGCAATATGAAACCATATTTTGGATGTTATAAGTAATAATAGTTATAATTTTTAAATTGTTTAAAGTCTAGTATAACCATACATAATACAAACGCAACGCTGTGGTTAACCCGGGTCACAGCATTTTTTTTTTTAGACTTCATAGGAATGCGCCGGATCCTGTGAGTGATATATTTGGATGATATGTCTACAACTGATACATTGGTATGCCAAACTAATTAAAGTAGTGGGTATAGC